GTAAATCTGCCAGGAAAAAAAAAAAAAAAAAAAAGGAAAAAAAAAAAAAAAGGAAAGAAAAAAAGGCAGAGGAAAAAAGAGAGTAAAAATCTGTCTGTAGCTTGTGAAGATTTAAACCGCGGGCGCGTTGCTGCCAGCGGAGTCCCGGGGCAGCGTCAGCGCGATCCGCCGCGGAGCTGTGCCTGCCGCCTCTGCCAGGCTGGATGGAGACGGTGGGGAAAGCAGCCGGCGTGGGGATGGACTGGACAGCGGCTCGGAGCGTGCCTGTGTGCCTCTGTGTGTGTGTGTGTGTGTGTGTGGTGTGCGTGCGTGTGGTGCTCTGGATGCGTGTGCCTGTATTTACGGGAGCCGGGGAAACCTCTGCTCCGCGCAGCGCTGGAGCAGCCTCCGGAGCCAGGCAGGGAGAAATCCTGGAGACAAGACACAGCGAGGGAGAGCCGCACATGCAGGCACACACACACACACACGCACACGCACACACACACACACACATACAGAAACGTGCTACACATTGCATCGCCGAAATACTGAATACAGGAGCAGAAAGCAAATCCTGGCGTGGATCGCTGTTTGCTGGCAGAAGGAAGGAAAAGCACCCTCAGCCCCGAAAACTTCCTCCTCGCCGCAAATCCAGCTGCTCCTAGACCCAAAATTACAAATTGCCGTCTAGCGAGACGTCAAAAAGGTACTACTCTTGGGCACTACCGCTCGCTGTAGTACCAGGGTTGGACTGGGCACCTTAAATACTTTTTCCCCATTAATTATTATTTGTTGCACACATAAATATCTGAGCTGACAAGCTGGAATAAGATTACTCCATCATCTAAAGGAAAGAGAAAAGATGTTTCTGTGCATCACACAAAGAATGAGAAAACATGAAAGATAGTCCTTGACCTGGATAATTCCTGCCAACCTAGGAGAGGAGAGCAGGGGAACAAAACCATAAATTTCCTTTCTGCAAAAGAGCATCTGCAAAAAACTGAATGGGGGAAGTGTAGAAAATTCCTGCAAGGTGAATTGGTGATGGGTTAGGGAGAGAGAAAAATATTCTGTCAAGTATTTGATAGCAAAATCCAAACCTAGAGTTTTAAAAGATATTGCAATGTTTTTTATGAGTACTGTAGAGCAGTGTGATAGCTTGTCCAAAGTATAGAGATATCAGACACAGGATGAAGTGAAGAATGCCCAACAGGAGACACAAAAGACCATGAACCTGAAGACTGACTTATCAGTGAGAAGCCACAGAGCAGTATCACAACACTATCATAATTCAAGATACTTTCAAATTTAGACTGAAATCATTAGGTGCCAATACTGCTGTGGTGTCACATTAGCTGCAGTGTTAGTTTTGGGTCTGGGCCAGTGTACGCAGCCTGGTCCCACCTGGTGCTGTGTGTTCTCCCTTCCTGTTTTACCGCTCCCACATAGTCATTCCGTCTTCTTCCCTCTCCTTCCCCCCCGGCTCCTGACCGAGTGATGATGCTCTGACGCTGCCTGTGCACACAGGGGGTAAGCAGTGTTTGTGTGTATTGTAGCAGTGTCAAGTGCTGCCACCCAGCCTTTTCAGCCAGAGGACAGGATGCAAGTAACCCCTTTTTAACAACCTACAAACTGAGAGCTCAGTGTCTTACCGGCCCACTACAAATAACAAGCTCTTAGTACATGTTAGTGCTCTGTTTTAGTGAGAAGTCAGACAAGGTTTGTATATTTACTGTGCAGAAAAGTTTTGACAGGTCCGAATGCAAGATCTCAGAGTGTGTGCGATGCAAGGAAGATACACACAGTTCACCCGAAGATAGGATCAGAAGGGTGTTACAAATGTTACCTCATTTCTTCTGGATTGCTCAAACAGTCTTCTATGCCGCGGTCAAAGTCGAGCATTAGTTTACCACATATTGAGCATGACACTCCCCCACAATCCAGTCTTCTTCAGCATTTCTCCAACCCACAGGAAAGTTAGTTGACACAGATTCAAATGTGCAAATAAGAAAATCAGCAAACTGTATTGAAGTACAGAAATCATTGTAAAAGAGATTCCGTGATTAATTCAGGGGTGCCTCTAGGTAATTTTTTAAAAGAAAAATGTAAATCTGCCAGGAAAAAAAAAAAAAAAAAAAAGGAGCATGTTCACCCCTGCAGTTTTTGCAAATACCAGTTGAATTGATACCATTGTTTGTATATTTAGCACTTTTACATAAGACAATGACAGCATGATATAACCTTTATATAACATGGGAAACTTGCTATGAGAAAGTCAGGTTCAGTTCCACTTTTGAATCCTGCCTCAAATGCAAGTGGCCTAGACAATCAGTTATGTTGTAGTCCTGAATGTGGAAGGAAAGCCTGACTCTCCCAGGATATCACATTTAAACACAGGTAATTCTATGGCTTCAACAAATCTCCTACTCATCACATGGGAGAATCATTGTGTGTTCTCAGTATGCATGTAATTAATTTTCTACAAAGTGGAAGAGCTCCAAAGAAAGCCCAGGTCGGAATGCACTCTAAGCAGTGGCTTTAGCAATCCCTTAGAAACCTAACACCTTCTGCCAGGCACATCACAGGCATGAGCTAAAAGCTCTCCTATTTCAGGACTTACACTAGGAGGCTGTTTGAGATGGCCACATCACATCCATCCTTTTCCAGCTGAACCTTGTAAATAAAACTGTAAATTGGTGTGTTTCCTCTTACTTTATTTTAAAGCCTTCCTTCCTTCTCCTTGACATAGTGATTAGTGTCTTCCAACTTAAAGTGTTTTCTGGCAGAGATGGACTTGATTTTGAGTTGGTGTGCATTAGTGAGGGAGCTTAGACCACTAAGTTGTTGGGTAAAATGCTGGCTTTTCCTACATCAGTTTTGGGTAGGAACACTTTTCAACATCTCAATTCATTTGCATAAGCATGAAAATGAAACTTTTTTTTTAGTTATATGGAATATTTTGATCACCAGGGAAAGTTTTTTGTGTCTTTTGTATTTCTCTGCAAAGATATAATAGCACTTAAAAATAAATTTTTAATGGTTTTCATACTTGGCAGTCAGACTGAAAATCAATCTTTTACCCTCCTGGAGAGCCTTCTTCATGAAACTCATTCAATGTGGTGACATAGATGATTGCTTAAAATGAAGACTTCACAATGCATCTGCTGGCTAGGTTTACCACAAGTGGGCTTTTTTTTCCTCAGTTATTCCAAATAGGTGTTCATTCATTTCAAGTTCTACCGACTGATTTTTTTGCAAAGTTTTTCCTAAAGATCTGCAAAAATTAAAGAAGACATGATTTTTAACCTTTTTTTCCAAATACTTCTATTAAAAATGAATTAAAACCAATCATTCACACCAAATCATAATAAAAAATATCAATAGAAAGTGGAGCAGCAGCCAGCATTATTTCCTTCATCCTCTGGAATAATCTGCCTCACATGGCTGAGACAGTTTCATAGTGTGCAGTAAAGGGCTTATGGAATCTCTAAACAATAAGGAAAAAAATAAGTATTGAATTGCTGTATCATTTGCAAAGCAGCCATCATCTTGGTGGAAAAACACGATTATAGGTCTTAAACATTATAGTGTGTAGTACATAGGCATGAGATTGAGATTGTACAAGGATTTTTTTTTGCTCCTTTTTTCATGTTTTTGAGTTATTTCCCTTTAGAAACAGGATAAATGATGTTACTTTGAAAGATACACTGATTTATTTTCAGGTGTTATCAAAAAATTCTCCTTGTTGTCATGGGTATTAAGGGGACTGCATAGACAAAAGCATCTTTCACCTGACTTGACAATAAAGCTCTGGCAAATGTCAAAATGCTCCATAACTCAGTTTCATTAAAAAGAGAAGCTGACTTCTCGATTCTCCATTAAATCTATGCACTCCGTAGATTTGCAGCTTTCACATAATGGACTTCTAGCAAGAATGTTTCACTGGTTGAGGAAATAATCACTAAGATTCTCAGATAGAATTTCTGTTGGTGAAGTGGCTCTGATGTTCCAGCTATTTCTGCAGGCAGACGACTGCCTCTGTACACACCAACAGCCCCTGCACCCCTGCAGATGCTCTGGGGGTGGAGGGCTTCTAGGATCTTGCCTTAATTTTAGGGGAAAATCCATCCACACACAGGTTGCCAAAGTATTTAGAGTACAGAACATGTCCTTGATACTGAGGAACAAGTCACTCACACTCCAGGCTCTGCACACCAAAAGGGAAATCCAAACATGCTCATTTTACTGTAAAACCATGAGGACAGATATGAAGGCACTTGTTCTTTTTTCAGGTCTACACTGTCTACTCCAGGTGGATGTTCTTTAAAAGTCCAGAAATAGTTAATTACATGGTGATGAGGTAACACACTGATTGAAACTGAGCTATGAGTTTGTTCCAATAAAACTTTCTAAAGAGCACTTCAATGAAGGCATACATTGCAGCATCAGAAAGTGCCCTTTAACTGACTTTTTGTGTTCTGTCCAGAGCCTTTAAAGAAAAACTTTCTCCACATAGCACAGACTGCTCTTCCTTATCAGTCTGTGCTAGAAGGGGAAACTTTGGGTTTTTTTCGTTGTACTGAATTGTATTGCTGCAAAATTAATGCAAAACCCAGTTCTTTCCAAAAAGTGAGCTCCAGAGGCACAGGTGTGAAA